ATAGTGTTATGTTATACCACCTACCCCAGGTTGTATTTCTAAACGAGCTGTATTGAATTTATACATAATTTAGAGCATTTTTGTGTGGCTCCCCTGCAGTTGGCCCCTGTGGTCAGGGGTCTTCGAATCAGCAGAAGAGGTCGTGACACGGATCACTGCAAAAACACAAGCTAATGGTGAACTGAGAAATAAAGTTAGATTTAATAAACACTTTGGTGCAATAATATATATAGAAACTGAGACAGAAATCTAAAACTAGAAATAAGTTATTGTCACTGGGTGAGTCACTTATTTATTTAAAAATTTTTCTTTTTGTAAAGCAGTATGAATATTAAGTAGCTATAATGTGAATATTCAGAAAGGCCTTGACTGTTTGTGTGCCCTTATTTTAGTTTATTTATCATTCACAACAAGTCTTGGTCAAGATGGCAGCTCAGATRGGCTAAAGATTAAATTTGATGACAAAATAAAATTAAGTCTGGGTTAAAAAATAAGCTTTAAGTTTTATTACTARAGTTTCAAAGTGTAAAGAGCGGTTATTAATATAAAATCCAAATGGATATCTGAGCGGGTTTCGAGTCGTAGAGAGTCAACAAACCACCGGGGCTTTGTGATGAAACCAAGCCGGAGCCGAAGCGTCAGAGGCGGCAGAGGAAGAGACGGAGCTCCGCCGCGAGGCTGCATTTCCCCCGGTTTTCTAAAGGGGAAAAGCAGCGCGTAAAAAAAAATAACTAAATATTTATAATTTTACACCTAAATCATGTTTCTATTTAGTTTCTCGGGTTTATTTTTCGTGTGCGTGCTTTTTTTTTGTTTTGTTTTGTTTTGTTTCGCGCGGGTCTCCGATTTCCTTCCGCCTCGCCAGCAGCGGTGCGCGAGCGATTCTCTTACCGGGCAGAGCGTCACTCGGGGCGGCAGGCGAGCAGCCGAGGAGCCGCTGAATCCCCGGGACCCAGTCCCGACACGCAGACACGCAGGCAGGGAGCTGCTGGAGCTCCTCCATGTTTGTTCCTCACAGATCATCTCAGTTAATTAACATACTGGAACATTTTAGATGTTTGTTTCAGTTGTAGCTCATTTTATTAAAAAAAAAACATTTTATTTATTTATTTTCCTTCTTTTTCTACAAAGTTTTGAAC